TGCAGTTTTGTTAAGAAAGGACCAACTTAACTTGTTCCCATACATAGTTTATTCATTCCTTTATTGGAATTGAGACTTCACAATTTCACAGATATTAATGAATTTATTTGATTAAAATATTTTACTGAAGGATGAGCATAGAATAATATCTTTAAACTAGTTTATTTCAGTTGATAAAGTGGTAGTGACACAAAATATAGAATATTAATGGAATTCTTATAAATATTAATTAAAGCATGATATGAACATTGTACATATTTACTTTGTTATTGTAAATGTTTCAATTATATAATCCATGATTGATCGAAAATGATCGATTATGATTTTTGTGTGATTAAGAAACCCTACGAACTACAAAGAGTGATCACAAAAGCTCACCCATGAGCACTTTGTGCTCATGTAAGCTAAAAGCTAATCATCCTAGCTTACTGTCTCAACAGAATAGTACAGATATGTAAATATTGAAACTGATACAACCACTTATTTAAGTCCATTTATTCTAGCACTCTACTGATACAACCACTTATTTAAGACCATTTATTCTAGCACTCTACTGATACAACCACTTATTTAAGACCATTTATTCTAGCACTCTACTGATACAACCACTTATTTAAGACCATTTATTCTAGCACTCTACTAATACAAACACTTATTTAAGACCATTTATTCTAGCAATCTACATACCAATTCTACTCCAATTTCTTTTCCTCTATCCAATTTTTCCTTTTGTCCCTTCAACCAATCTAAGTAGTCAGTCTGCTCAACACACTTCTCCTCTGCAGATTTTTCCTTTCTCTTAAGCAAACCATCATCACTACCATCATCCTCATTACTTCCAGCTGCTGCCACAATACTACAAACATTAAGGAATAGCACAACTTTAACTGACAGATTTAGAGTGTTATTTAGATTTATAGTGTGGTTTAACCTAAAATGTAATTTATCGCAACATTTATTGTTTCCATGCCCAGTATTTACAAAAAAAAACCCAGAACAGAAAGAACAGATTATTTGCTAAGTTTTTGTGTATATTGATGGTATCAGATGAAAACACTGATTTAACTTTTGTAAATGTAGAAGAAACTGTTAATTTTAACAAGATATGCAGGGCTGAAAATTAGCGGTCGCCCAGTCGCCCACGGCGACTTAATTTGTACTTGGACCACTAAAAATTTCAAAATAGTCGTCCAGTCGGCGACTTAAAAAATCTGCCGTAGATTAAATTAATATCCGCCATTAAATCAACTCACGTAGTGGGGCGGGAAATAAGGTCTCTGCTGTCAAAATAGTGCAAATTGTGATACAAGCATGAAACTTTCAGGAAATTATCTTTAGACCATGTAGATTTCAAAAGTGAAGTGGGCCCAAAAATATCTCTGCTCATTCAAGATGGCCGCCATTTTCAAGATGTACATAATAGATCATTCATTCCAATTTTTTGTACAGACCTGAAACTTACACCAAAGCATTCATATAGTATCCCCTTTTCAAAAATTTAAACCTTTAAGCAATTTATCTTGCATATTTCTGCAGAATCCAAGATGGCGTCCAATATGGCTGCCAATTTTAATGAAAACTGATATATCTCTTTTGTAGTATAATTTTTTGCACACGGTATGCGTATTTCCATATAAAATTGTGAAATATATTAGAAAAAAATCAAATTTTAGGTTAACCACATTGTTAGTCATGTTTTTAGTTTTTTGTACAAAATTTTTTTTAAAAAAATTCAAAGTAAAAGTGCCATTTTTTTTCATTTTTCTCTAACATGGTTTTCTAGGGATATGTACAAAATTCCAAAAGTTACATAGTTTCTTAAAGTGTATTTGATATTCAATCAACACTATGTTTTATTGTATAATTGTAACAAAAACAAACAAAAATGTGAAGGTTTTATACTTATTAAAAAGTGGGTGGGGTAAAAATTTATCAGACAATTGTAGTACAAAATAACGTTTTTTAAGAATTCTTATGCAAATATTCACTGTAAAAGTATTTTTATTGTATTAAGGCATTTTTGTTTCCTTCAGGTCTAGAGGGTGTACTAAAATATCAATAAATGCAGATACAATCATATGTATACATTCAGTTATTAAATGTGTTTGCATGATTTAAGTTGTTTCAATAGTCATAATATAATTGTACAGAAAGAAGACTGAATATTTATTAACGAACCATATGTTAGATAAAATCATGCCTGGACCTTAGTGAAATGTTGTCTAAATATGAATACAATTATTTCCTGCACAATTTAGTCTTGCTAAAAGCTTGTAACAGAATGATTCAAAGTTATATTTACTTGCACATCATTGTAACCAAGTATAATTGAATAAGTACCGTCCATAACTAATAACTTATGTAGACATGATATTTTCAAATGAAACAAAAATTTAGGCGACTGATACATCACATTATCTAATGACTATGTGTGCTAAAATAGGTATCAATAAAACCGCTTGACCCACATAACAAACATAGCTTATACTTTGGAATATAAACTAAATGTATTCCTACTTTATTTTTCCCATAAAACAAGAGAGCATTGTTGACCCTAGATCACGCGCCTAAGACCCACTGCTGGAAAAGGTCTATAATTCTTTTATACTGAAGAATGCTAAAATCATATAAGGAGTATCTTTTTTTCACCAGTCATGATTTAAAGAATCATGTCCAATAAATAGGCTCTCAGACTGAACTACAAGAAGACTCATATAACTATATTCCAATAAGAGTCCATGTAAACTAAGTGATTTTGACCCTATGCCAATAGTTAATAATCTTTATATAGCATCACAATGTTATGATATATGATATTTTCTCTTCTCTGTGCACATAGTTTCGGAGAAGAATTTTAATATATAAGTCAATGTAAACTAAGTGACAGGGAAAGCTGTTTTAGACTGCAGAAACATGATTTAAAGGCCCGAACGAGGAACACAGTTTTTAAAGACGTGTGTAGGGAATCGCATTGAAGTTGTTTTGTTGTTGATGTTATTAAAAAAAACAAAAACAAACAAACTGTAATGCCTAGAGCTTAGATAGTCAAATATAACCTTGCCAAGTAAAGAAGACCTCTTTAAAAGTTACATAAAACACTTTTGTATAATTAAGTGTACATTCAATAAAAAAAATCTTCTCAAAAATCAAAATGAATAGAACACAGGTACTAAGCTGGCATGTAGCACCACCTTGGGTCTTTATTATCACATTTAATGAATCATGCTCATAGAGCCACCTGGGTTCACAGATTTGTATAGGAAAACACATTAAGAACATCTATTGTTAAACTTCATTGACTTGAACTAAGGTATTTGGGATGTAGACTGATATAACATGCATAAATTTGTATAATGCTACTGCAGTCTAAAATGGTTTTGCAATGGTATCACTTAATTTACAAACCTAACCGACGCATATACATTAACCATGTATCATCATAATTATGTTATAATAATGATATATCATGGACAACATGGTCCAAATTTACCAAACACAAAAGGTCACTAAGTTTATATGGACTCGTCTATAGATATGGTTATTAAAGTTCTCTCGTATGAAATAAAAAAATTGAAAGCAGATATTGAGCATGTTTCTTTAAAAGCAACCGGATTCAATATGACACAAATCATGTGTGTTATGACATAATTGACACTCCCAAAATGATCTTGTTACCCTTTTTTCAACAATGATCTTAGGTGAGTGATCCAGGGTCATCATTACCCTCTTATTGAAAGAGAAAAAAAAGATATGATTACTTTAGGAAATACTAGTACACTAAGTTTGTATCTTAACTTTTCAAAATGTTGCATGCAGGCCAGGCCATATCATCGATATATATGTTTCACATCACATACATTTTGTTGGCTTTTATTATAGATATAAAATTGTGGAGGAGTCAAAAATATGCGTTTATGGACTACCTTTATACCTTACATTCAAGTACATGTTTGCTATTTTAAGCATGTTTAGCTGATTTATTGTCTTCTTATATGTCTTTACGATTAACAATTAATATATAATATCAAATATATTGAAACAAGAAAAATCATGCAACCAAATTTAATAACTGAATGTATACACATGTTTGTATGTGCATTTCTTGCTCAACCACCAAATGGTCCGAAGGAAGACAAAAATACTTTCATCCAATAAAAAGTACTTTTTAAGTTGGAACATTTGCATAAGAATTCATAGAAAATTTAAAGGCAAAGAAATAGAATTAACTTAGCTATGTAGATTTTCTGTTTTTTTCTTTCACAATTATCATATAAAATTACCCCATCCACTTTCACAAACTATAAAACCTACAGATTTAATGCTTTTCTTACATTCTTAATAATAAACACATGATATTAATGGAATGTCAAATACAGTTTAAGATATAAAGTAACTTTTTTAACTTTGTACATTACTTTAGAAAATCAAATTTGAAAAATATGAAAAAAATGGAATTTTTTCTTGATCTTTTTTAAAGATATTTTTAGACAAAAACTTTTAAAATGTTTAATTTTATTGAGATTAACATATATTTTGATTATCTCCGATATGTTTAAACACTTTTTTTATCATAATAAACATAATTTGTGCAACAAATTATACTATAAAAATGATATAATAGTTTTGCACAAAATCGACGGCCATATTGAACGCCATCTAGGATTTGGAAGAAGTATGAAAGAGAAATTTTGTTAGATTTAAATTTTTGAAAAGGAGAAATTATATGCATGCTTTTGGTGTGAGTTAAAGGTCTGTACAAAAAATTGGAATGAATGAGCTAGAATGTACTCAAATTTATATGGCGGCCATTTTGAAAATGGCGGCCATCTTGAATGAGCAGAGATATTTTTGGGCCCACTTCACTTTTGAAATCTACATGGTCTAAAGATGATTTCCTGAAAGTTTCATGCTTGTATCACAATTAGCAATATTTTCTCAATTTCCCGCCCCACTAACGTGAAAATTCAAAGGAGCAAATGAGCAAATTGGGTCAAAAATTATTAAATTGGCTCAAGAAAATCACGATTGGCTCAAACTTACAAAAAGTATGACTTTTGGAATCTCCAGTCTAAATTAAGCATTTGCTATTTTAAGAATGGAAAAGTACACATTTGGTTTTCCATTTTTAATTTCCGCTTTACCGCTTCTTCTCAAAACACAGCGACACAGTCTACTTCTTGTGGATCATTGACTGGTTTATTTTTTACTTCCCTTCTGAATTAAATATCGATATGAACAGTAACACAGTCTAATACACTGGCCCTCACCGTTTGTTTACATCAGCTGATAAATATGACACTAATTGTCGTGAACATACCTGGCAGATTGTTGAATATGCATTGGAAAATTGGGTCTTAATATTTAATATGAAACAATAAGTAGCGGCATCCCAAGATTACTCAAGATTATCGCTAATCAAATCAGAAGTTGGGTATGAAATAGCGACAAATTATGTTCTGCAGTTGACAACTTGACCTGTTGACGGTAAGTTTGCATTCAGTAAATCTTATCGTTGTTGATTAACAGATCAAAGAAATTATTAGTTAAGAGTAATGGTTGTTTTTATTTTTCTGTTGGTTTTTTTTTTCATTTTTATATTTTTGGGGGGAGGGGGGAGGGGTTGATTGCCATTTAATTCTGACCAAATTATGCCTTTACAAGGAATTTATTTGACATTTGGCTTTACAGAGAATTCCTGGGGAAAAAAGAATGACCTTGATTTGGCTTAAAATCCAATTTCAGTTCTGTAACCCATAAAGCTCTTGCAGAAGTATTCATTTATAAATGGCTTATGACTGTGAAATATTAAAGAAAGATTCAGTTAAGAAGCATACAAAATGCCTTCAGATTCCTATACACTTAGACAGTAGTACATGTGATTTTATTCCTTAATTGTCTTTAGTTTAGAATTTTCAATATTATTTTCTTCACTCTTCTTACTTTTAAACTTGTTTCTTCTGTATTATTTCAGATACAGATAGTCTTCAAGCCAAATCTTTGTCATTAACAAAGCAAGCTGAAGCAGCACATTGGAATGTGTTTCTGCTGTTACTGTCATGCCACTGACTTAACCAGAACCAGGCAAATGTTATAGACAGTTTACACTGAGCTGGAAGCTTTTATGATTATTGACTGTAAATTATATAAGTTTGATGTGTTAATGTGATAAAAAATGTAGGTACCAAAATAAAAGTGGACAACATAGTTTATGTTTTTCTGAATACCTCATGCCGTACATTTTTGCCATTTTTGAAATAAAATACAGGCACGCAATTTTCGCTGCTAAAAAAATAGCTAAAAATAATTTTGCCAGTGCTAGTCCCGTTTCCGTTCATAAATTGTTGGTCCACTAATATATTTACTGGGCCACCAAAATTTTACAGTCAGTGGCCCAGGTGGCCACCAAGCTTAAATGGTTAGTTTTTATCCCTGATATGTTTGTAAAACATGTATGCCCCCTATCAGCAGCCAATTAGTCATGTGATCAGGTTATTATGCATGACTTCTGACCCAGTGAACAAACAATTAATAAGGGTTATCTAGTATCTACTGGTCATGACTAGTCACAAGGTAATAATTATTGTGACCCCATAGGTTGTGTGCAGCAATTTAAGTTATTACAAATCTTACCAAATAATATATGATATTAATGACAGCCAAGTTGTTATATTACATAAGACCTTCAAATGTGTATACCAAAAGCACTTTTAGTTAAATATAAAAATATCAACCAAGGCAACTTGAGTTGTAGAGTTATTGGTCAGAAACCGCCATTAAGTACAAGGTCAATATGACATTGACCCCTTGTTCCCCAAAATCAATAGGGGTCATCTACTGGTCATGACCAATCATCATACCAAGTTTGAAGTTCCTAGGCCTAAGCGTTCTTCAGTTATTGTTCAGAAACTGTTTTTACCTACAAGGTCAATGTGAACTTGACCTTTGACCCCTTGACCCAAAAATCAAAAGGGGTCATCTGCTGGTCATGACCAATCATCATACCAAGTTTGAAGTTTCTAGGCCTAAGCGTTCTTAAGTTATTGATCGGAAACCCGTTTTTACCTACAAGGTCAATGTGATCTTGACCTTTTTACCTACAAGGTCAATGTGACCTTGACCTTTGACCCCTTGACCCAAAAATCAAAAGGGGTCATCTGCTGGTCATGACCAATCATCATACCAAGTTCCTAGGCCTAAGCATTCTTAAGTTATTGATCGGAAACCGTTTTTACCTACAAGGTCAATGTGACCTTGACCTTTGACCCCTTGACCGCAAAATCAATAGGGGTCATCTGCTGGTCATGACCAATCACCATACCAAGTTTGAAGTTCCTAGGCTTAAGCGTTCTTTAGTTATTGATCGGAAACCGTTTTTACTTAAAAGGTCAATGTGACCTTGACGTTTGACCCCTTGACCCCAAAATCAATAGGGGTCATCTACTGGTCATGACCAATCACCATACCAAGTTTGAAGTTCCTAGGCCTAAGGGTACTTTAGTTATCACTCGGAAACCATTTGGTCTACAGACCGACGGACCGACAGACCGACGGACCGACAAATGCAAAGCAATATACCCCCTCTTCTTTGAAGTTGGGGCATAATAAATGATTAAAATTCCAGTGATGCATCACATTTAAAACAAGCAATTATCATAGTATTGCAAGCAATCCATAAGTCCCCTACCGGTAAGAGCCCAAGCAACATTCTGAAGGGCCATTCACTGAGGTTCGTATTTTAAGTAAATTTGTTGAAAAAGTTCTTTAAAAGTGATCACAGGAAACAGTTTTTATGTACAGACAGACGGACTGAAGGACACTCTAAAGTAATTTTTTAAACATCCCTGTTATCAAAATATAACATTTTTAAAATCCTATCATGATTGCAGAAGTTGGAGTAAAAATTACCAATTTCTCAAAAAAAAGTCTAAGTTCAAAAGGGGCATAATTCTGGAAATAGTCTTGCTAGAGTATTGAACACTCACAAATGTTGAGTGACAATAAGAAACATTTATATGAAGTTTGAAGTAGATACATTCAGAAAAAGAAGTTATTAAAAAAAAACAATGTTTTTTTCATGAAAATTTTAAGTTCAAGGGAGGTAATTCTGATAAATTTTGTACTAGAGTTGTAAACCTTGCCACATATGATATGGTTGATGACAAGCAACTTATATTTAAAGTTTGAAGAAAATACCTTAAGAAATAAAGAACTTATAGTGAAAAAACTTAAAAACTAGAATAAGAAATCTTGAAATTCAGTCTATTTGTTGCCATATCAACCAGAATTTTCAACATAGGAAGATAAGAAAAGGATGTGCATAATTTCCATACTGTCATCTACCCATATGTCAAGTTTCATAAACATATTTTCAGTACTTTTTGTGTTACCACTGGATCCAGGTTATGTGTAAAATTTGCCATATTTTCAGTCTATTTGTTGCCATAGCAACCAGAATTTTCAACATAGGAAGAAAAGAAAAAGACGTGCATAATCTCCATACTGCCATCTATCCATATATCAAGTTTCATAAAAATATTTTCAGTACTTTTTGCGTTATCGCGGGATCCAGTTTATGTGTAAAATTTGTCATATTTTCAGTCTATTTGTTGCCATAGCAACCAGAATTTTCAACATAGGAAGAAAAGAAAAAGATGTGCATAATCTCCATACTGCCATCTATCCATATATCAAGTTTCATTAAAATATTTTCAGTACTTTTTGCGTTGTCGCGGGATCCAGTTTTGTGGACGGACGGACTGACGGACGGACAGACGGACGGACGGACAGACAGACAGACGGACGGAGGGTAAACCTAAAGTCCCCTCCGGTAAACCGGCGGGGGCAAGGCTCGGCTTTTTACTTTTTCTAAAAGCAAACAAAGAAACGTTTGAACAAATCTTAACGTTTCCTTTTTATAATTTTAATAAGTCTGTCTTAGAAAATATGATCAAAATTCAGTAGTATATATATAGGTAAAGGTCTATCTGGTTAATTTAAAGGGCTATCCTTGAAGATTATTATGTTCAAGTCTGAAGACAATTCATTCAAAAATAACAAAGTTGTAGCCAATTATAGCAAGAACAAGCAAAATTTGAACACTTGACCTTGAAGGTCAAGATAATTTATGGATGAAGGTCAAAGTTAGTCTGGTCTACTGAAAGGTCTTGTCTAAAGGGTTGTTGTGGCTAAGTATGAAGACAATACACCAAGAACTTAAAAAGTTATGATCCAGGTACAAGTTATGCTGACTGCAACGAGAACGCAGCCAGGACTATAACAATATCTCTACTTTTTTTTTTTCAAAAAAAAAAAGTAGAGCTAATAAAAATAAAAGTAGAAATTGCAATTAACTAGAACTCCACGAGTCGGATGTGTCGCCTTGTGAACAATGTAGTTTAGGAGAAATGGCCAGTACAAAAATGAAATATGAAAAATAACAAAGGGCAATAACTAAAAAATAATAAGTGCAGAGCAGCAGTTTCTGTGCACTGCACTTCTTATCAATAAGATCTATCATTCTATGATGTTTCAAGTCCATAGCTTTCATACTTGAGGAGAAATGACCAGGACAAAAATAAAGTAAGAAAATCAACAAAGGGCAATAACTCAAAAAATAAGAAATGCAGAGTATCAGTTCTTATGCACTGCACTTTTTCTTAATGAGATCTATCATCCTATGAAGTTTCAAGTCCATAACTTTTATACTTTCGGAGAAATGGCCTGGACAAAAATTAAGTATGAAAATTAACAAAGGGCCATAACTCAAAAATTAAGAAATGCAGAGTACTGATTCTTGTGCACTGCACTTCTTCTTGATGAGATCTATCATCCTATGAAGTTTCAAGTCCATAGCTTTTATACTTAAGGAGAAATAGCCCAATAACTCAAAAAATAAGAACTGCAGAGTACCGGTCCTTGTGCACTTATCTTTAAACAAAATAATTGAACTTGTTCCTTATTTACTGAAATTAACAATGTCTGGAAAAAGGTGACAATACCATTAATAAAACACAAGTGGTCTGAGAAAAATATATACAGTATGATTACTTGACAGATCTAGCCATTTGAGAAAATAGAATAGAATTAGTCTCAATACCAGTATTTCAGTGTTATTTGAAAATGCAATTTACACTGCAAGTATAGGTGTTTTGTTTGTAAAATCAATGATTACCACATTTTTTGATGACCACCTAAGTTTTTATTTACTGGTCCTGACTTGTCAGATTCTAAATGCACAAAGAAGGGAGGGGTGTAGCAAATCCATTTCTCATAACTATTGAATACAAGAACCGGTTGAACCGGGTGATGCTCCCCGAGAAGGTTCTGGACACAGGAAAGTATAAAAAAAATGAACAAAGGGCAAAAAACTCCAAAATTAGGCAAAGCGGAGTTATGTTTTTTTGCACTGCACTTCTATTCAATGAGATCTATCTATCTATAAAGTTTCCTGATGATATCAGAGTTATGTCCCAGGTAAAATTCAAAGTGTAAAAATGAACAAAGGGCAATAACTCCAAAATTAGACCAGGCTTTGTTTAGGTTCTTTAAGCATTGCAGTTCTATCCTATTATATCTAGCTACCTACAAAGTTTCATGTTGATATCTCTAATAGTTTTAAAGTTATGTCACGGACAAAAGTCAAAAAGTAAAAATAAACAAAGGGCAATTACTTCAAAATAAGGCAAGGCAGAGTAATGATTCTTAAGCAATGCACTTCCACCCAATGAGACCTATCTATCTACAAAGTTTCATGTTGATATCTCTTATAATTTTAGAGTAATGTCCCGGACAAAGTTCAAAGTGTCAAAATGAACAAAAAGCAATAACTCCAAAAGTAGGCAAGACAGTGTTACAGTTCTTGTTCACTGCAAACTTACTCAATGAGATCTATCTACCTACAAAGTTTCATGTTGATATCTCTTATACATTTAGAGTTAAGTCCCAGAAAAAGTTCAAAGTGTAAAAATAAACAAAGGGGGATAATTCAAAAATTAGGCAAGGCAGAGTTAAGGTTCTTGTTCACTGCACACCTACTCAATGAGATCTATCTCCCTACAAAGTTTCAGGTTGATACCTATTATAGTTTTAGAGTTATGTCCTGGACAAAGTTCAAAGTGTAAAATAAACAAAGGGGGATAATTCAAAAATTAGGCAAGGCAAAGTTTCGGTTCTTTAGCAATGCACACCTACTCAATGAGATCT